GGGGGGGGGGGGAATCATCTGATGCAATGACAAGGTTTTTTTTCTAGTGATTGTAGTTCTCAGAGAGAATAAAAACAACAGCCATTGTAGATGAGATTAAAGGGAATTTTGAATTGTGTGGACTTTTTTTTCTCAAATTCAGGAATAAACATTTGGGTATTATTTTCATATAGAAAAATGAAGAAAGTTGATTTCTTTGCGGGAAATTGATTTCTGGTAACATTTTGAATATAACCGTTTTTTGCAATTTTAAAGGCATAATTTTAGGGGTGAAATACTTATTTTTTTATAAATTATTTGTGAAAGGGGAACAAGAGAACCTAATGTTGTATTTTTAGTTCACAGAGGGGATAAAGACAATGGCCATTGCAGATATTATTAAAAGAGATTTTGAATTGTCGATTTTTTTTTCAAATTCAGAGAAAAACATTTGGATATTCTCTTCTTACAGGAAAATTGAGGAAGTTGATTTTTTTGCGGGAAATTGATTTGTGGTCAAATTTTGAATATAAATTTTTTTCCCACTTTAATGAAATCATTCGAGTAAATGTTGATTTTTCATAAATTATTTATCAAAATGGTCGGAATGTTGAAACACTGCAATTTTTAAATTATTTTATAAACGCCTCTCAGAAAGTAGAACTTTTGATTCTTACATTTAGGGAAACATTGTTTCTTTCAGCGTTTGCTTCTTATAAATAAATATAGAAAGCTCGTTAAACACTCAGAAGCCTTCGATTTTAGCATAAAATCGATTTCCGGAAAAATTTCAAAATTTTTGGTTTGAAAAATTGCTTGTTTTAAATCAATTATCACTCCTAAAAATTGTAATTGTTCAATAATTCCGAAAAACTTTCTCAAAAAATAGATTTGAGACTTTGAAAATATTTCCTAGCGGTCCAAAAAAGAGTCCAGTTGAAACCTTCAAAGTTAAAATAATTAAATCAATGCAAAAAGTTCACTGACCTAGGGTCAAGTGGGGCTCAATACCAAGCTCCCATCAACAATAAAAAATAAAAAGGATCAAAAGAAATCAAACGCTACACTAAAAACGCAGAATTCTAATTCACACAAGACGAGGAGGCCTATAATCTACTGATGAATATCAAAATCCACATTGGACAGGGTGACAAGGTACGTATCGAGCCACCGACATGACCAAGGTATTTTTAGTACATCTAAAAAAACAACATGGGATGTTAAAAAAACTGCAGGTATTGGGAATAATCGATAAACGAGAAGAGGTTGAAACGTGGTACTATTAAATAACGGTTTTATTGGTAAGTCTTCAATGATAGCAGGCTAGGATAATTCGTCGATTTAAAATGGTTGTTGTTAAACTATAGGCACTATTCAAAAGCTTAAAATCTAGCTTGTTGCCTAGAACGCTGATTGAATCTCGATGTACCGTGTTTCTGTTAATTTCAATTATCACTCTATTATCGTAGACAATGAATTCATTGAAAATCCTCATTTATTGCTTAATTAGCGATTAAAATTGCCTCCCAAAAGGGGACGACAGAGAATAGCAATTTGTTCTATACAACTAATTTAATTAATTTCACTTTAATATTATTACTTGTGTGAATCAATTATCATTGAGTATTAATTATAAGTAATTATGTTATCTCATCAACGGATTTGAGCTACTGTCAATTGAGCAGTGCTATATCATATTTCCATTAGATCAACCGATTGGTGCGAATAATGGTTATTACGTTAATTATTATCAAAGGTGAAATACACTTCAACATGTGCCACTGTATTCACTCTTTATTTCCAAGTAATTTTATGATTTTCCAATAAACTCTGAACGAAATTTCCCTCCATCATGTCCACATGAAAAATATTAATTTTGTCCTGCCAAATTGTTGTTCTTCATTAGTGAAAAAAACTATTTTCTAATATTAAATACGGTGCTGTGGGTGTTACCACATATGGAGATCGTTTACTGGAAGCGAATGAGAAGGCAAAGAATACTATTTTCCAATACTGTCGTGTTGCTTTTACAATTACCATCAATTTCACACTCATATTTTTTTTAGTTCTCTGAGCAACAGCGTCGTATCTTCTAGTTTATCTTCCAATTACCCTATGTATTGGCACAGATACCCATTGGTATCATTTATTAAGCAAAGAGTTTACGATTAATCATTAATTCTACACTCAAATCTTTCATTCGTGGGAGTACTGATTATAAGCAGGTATTTACAATGAAAGGTTACATTTGAGTTTCAATGAAATTATAAATTTCACTTCTATTACAACGTAAAATGAACAGTGTATTATGTATCTTGTTATTATGGCGCCGATCAGCGACTGCAATGTCCCTTTTATTCACTCATTTTTATTATTTTTAAAAAAGTCAATTACTGGGAAAAAAACGATGAATTCCGTCTGTCCAACTTGTCACGATAATTAAAGAAAAATTAGTTCAAAGTCTGATGTAAATATAATGAATAAAAGGGATGAATAACACTACAGTTCACTAGCGCTAAACTGGATCGGCATCGGGCAGTGTGTCACTAACGGCAGAGTTGCATGATTTCTCGTAATTAAAATTTAATAGTCCAAACAATAGTAAGTGACACAGTGAGGCAATGATCTTAGGATACTCTGGGGGCGTATACTTGTCGATTAATCCACTTACACACATTATTCGCTCATTCACTTTTAGTGATTCACTGGCACACGTATGTAACGCAAAATTGTAAAATCTAGTGGCGATCGGAGTTACCTGTCCTCGAACAAAGATAAATCACTTGGATTATTACTCCGAGTCATATCAATCATTATTTGTCAGTGATATTTCTTTGTTCTCGATACAATGGCTTCTCTGTAATCGATCGCCATATTTATTTTCCGAGGTCACAGCCTTCAAGGGATGCGAACGTGTGGCGACGTAATTGTCTGTTCCACCTACGAGCGCTGAAATTCCTAAATGATCCTTAGGAGAATGATATTCTTGAATGACTTAGAGATACATGAAATCATTGTTTCATGGTAGAGATCTATGTACGATCAAGTGTGGAGTAATCTAGTTCAGAAATAAGTGGAAATTGTGGGTGGGGGTTTCAGTTAGAACCTAGTTTTTCAGTGGATATGTGCAATCGTCATTCATCTGCTGCGATAACTCTTGAATCTAATTGATAGTGAAAATTATATCCTAAGGCCGCTATGCGATCTCCACACTGCACTTGCGGAAAAAATTAATTTTTCCAAGTCAATTTCAGTTGAACTAACTGCTATTTGGTTGGTAATTTTCAAGTTCACATCATTTTGCAGTGAATATTAATTATTTATTATTGAGATTCAGTTAATTGGGAGAAGTAGAACTTCTCTGGAATTCAAGTTCATTCCATTTTTCGGAGTAACGAGAATATTTGATCTGACGTAAATTTTTCTGTCTCCGGAAATCCTTCGTTTTAATAAAAATGATAATTATTCTTAGGACTTGATACGTTATTATATCAATTAACGCGGCCGTCAGTCGTTCCAAGTAAATTATAATTGAAAAATGGTCAATTTACAATAACAAAAGCAAAGATGACGGCAATTCTACCCAAATTTGGATTTCCAAATTCCGTTCAATGTGACATACGAAAAGCTCTATTTAATGATTGTCTTCATTCGACGAAACAATATTCAATTTACTCATTGAAGTATTTATCTCCTAGACACAAATTTTCATCAGTTCATTAAAGTAGAAATTTTCTCCACTAGAAATTCTGTCAAGTGTAGAAAAGTGAATGTATCTCAAAAGAAATACTTGATATTCACCGTAAGATCCTATTTATTTGAAATGTCACCAACTATGCAACACTTGCTCCAAGAGAAAAACATCGTAATAAAATTAATTTTTTCTACGAATGTGCGCTCTGTGATCTCCAATTCAATAGTTATGAATGCCTTACTCCTCTAAACAGTCTATAAAGTTGTTTTTATACTCGAACTAGAAAATTTACGTGATCATCCACGACACTAAGTCTATCGTCGACTCGTTCATTCTGAACGAAGCAGAAAAATAGAAAAGAAACGAAAATAAACGTCATTTAAATCTCTCCCTAGTCTCACACCCTGAAAGAAACTTCAGCTAAATTTGCTTTGTAACGAATAAATGAATACAAAATAAAGCGATAAAAAAATATTTTTCTACAGAAGAAAAAAACATCTCGAGTCAGTTGATTCATAATTGGAGAGAATAGTTATCAGCGAATGGAACCAACGAGTGCAGGACCCGAACATTATGCATATCAAAGATTAAACTTGTCCCTTATTAAAAACCTCAGTGGAACCTCATTCAAACTTTTTGAAAAAAATTAAAAATAAAAAGAAAAACGGAGTAATCGAGTTCCTACGACTTATGCTTTACTGATGCCAAACTCTGCCGCACCATGACACGCAGTACGAGCGATCTAATTTACGCTAGGAACGAGATAATCATCTTTGCGTTCGATAACAATGCTGGACCTTACGTTTCCTTCAACTAGTCAGATGTCAACTTCGAACATGTCCTGTTCAATAGGTTTCTTCACCCAGTTTCCAAGTTGGGCACGTACAAATGCCTCCTTGAGTTGGCGTTTAGCAAGCTGAAACGATCGATTAGAAACCCCCAAACTCGGAACTAGTACCACTTTTTTTTTTATATCTCTTGTCTATTTTATCACAATGCTCTATTCAACTAAAAATAAATAAATTGATATTCTGTAGTGAATGTTATACGTTACCGAGTAATCCTGGATTGACGATTTAGCGTCGAGATATTGACGACAGACATCGCGATCGACATCGTCAATGGTGCTGAGTTTACCGAGAAGATTGAAGAACATACGAAACAATCCTTGCTTGGATATACGCGATGGTTTTCCAAGTTCATCCTTGCCAGTTGTGCAATTTATTACCTCCGCCTCGGCTTGACCTGGAAAGTATTCGATGCATGGAGAAACAATTTGCACTCACTGATAGAAAAATTCATTTGATTGAGATGTTTTTGTCCTGGGAACAAGTATTATACAGTTGAACAAATTTCAAATGAATAAGATCTTATGGTGAATAGCAATTATCTCTTCTTGAGATGCACTCACTTGGATCGAATAAAATAGTAGACGGAGTCCAGTCACGTGTATTTATCGCGAAAATGGGAAAGTTCGATTTTTTTTTTCACTTGATATAATCTTCAGACGGGAAATTCTCCACTTTCATGAATTGATGAAGAAGTTGTATTTAGGAGATGATGACAAAATTCGATGAGTAAATTTAATGTTGTTTTCTCGAATGAAAAACATCTTCAAACCGAGTTTTCCGCATATCACATTAACCGGAATTTGTAACATCACTTGTCATTGTAGACATACCAAATTCCTAGTTCATTTAAAATTTACTTGAAATAACGTATTTAGTGACAATAATTTTTGTTTTTGGGTAAACCCACGAATTTCCGGAGACCGAAAAATTTTACGTTAGAAAAAAATCAAATATTCTCATTATTGGGGCAAAAAAAATGCACTTGAATTCTAGAAAAGTTCCATTTCTCCCGATGAAATTTATCTTAAGTAGAGATGACCATTATTCGCTATAAAATCATATTAATTTGAAAATTACCAATCAATTAATAATTGGTTCAAATAGAATAATCTTGGTAAAATGAATTTTTCCTGTCAGTGTGGTGTTCTCTATTATTTAGAATCCATAATAAGTACAAACCAACTGTCCAATTGACACTGTAGTTCGGCGCCTTTCCCGGCTGCCTGACTTCGGAAGACGTTATGAGGCTCATCAGTGGCTTGTTCAATCGATATGGTGGTGGTAGGCCCTGTATTGTATTCTCAATTCTTCCGCATACGGCCCGATACATGTGGCTTGGATTTAACAGACTGCCAAGAACGATGCTGTGGAAGTAAATAGGCTCGATGAAGTGGCTGAGGAGTGCACCTTGCACACCTAGTACGTTCCATCGAGCTATTTTATCCGAACACGACATCGTCAGCAGTCTCTGACCCTGTAACAAATTTTTTGTGCATTTAACGATTTCATTCACATGGAGTACAAGGATTTTTTAATATTTTCCTTCTGTTCCATTATGTTTCCATTAGGGAAATGTCAAATATTAGATTCTAGGGGGAAAAAGCAAGACGTAAATTTTCTACTGGATCACTTGCTCTTGAGATTAAAAAAAAACAATTAACAAGAATATTAAAATTCATTGATAATAATAAAGTGCTAGTCTACTTTTTGTTAAATATGGAATTATCTTCATCATTAGTGATCTGAGAATGAAATGTCAACGAAATTTCCTCAGCTGCAAAAAAATAAACAATTTCCAAAAATATAAAATTCAATTCAAATGCACTCTTGCCATTTCTCTCTAAAATGAATCGTTTCCAAGACGAATGAAAAAAGTCATGAATTCCAAAAATTAAATGTTCCCAATTGTCTACTTGAATTTAAAAAAAAAATTGACTAGTTAAATTTATTTAATCATCATTACGTAGATTGACTTAATTACCATGAGAACGCCATCCCAAGTTTGAATTCCCTCGCTGCTCTTGACTGGAATAGTCCCCTCACCAGACTCAATTTTCGTTCTGAGCTGTCCCCTGGCACGCCTATTTGGATGCTTGTCAACAGACTCGTTCTCCTCGTGGGGTGAGAAAATTCTGGCATCCCCACAAGGGGCTGTGTTTATGTACAAATGAAATTGTATGCCTGGCTTGACTCTGTACCCCTTTTTTACGGGCTCCAGGATGGATTCGTCAGCGCGGTTCTCAGTGTAAAGGGCTAATTGCTTGTAGAGATATTCGCAGAGGCATCGACGAGCCACTACCTCAGCGTGACAGTCGTTCAGGGCTCCACCGGTTACACTCAGATGTTCACCGGATACACATTTTGTGCCTGAAGACAATTCGAGTGATTGAATGTTTCAACTGAAGAGTTAATTGGAGTTTCATCGAGGAAAAATTGGAGTTTCATCGAGAGCTGACTAGTTATTTTTAGGAGAGTGATGGTGAAAATTCGATAATAATTGAAGCGAAATTGAGTTTCTATTACCTTTTCCAGCGAATTTTGAATTTTCAATTGTAAAATTCCTTGAAATTTCAGTGGAATTATGACGTGATAAAAATTTCCAAGAAGTGTATCCGAAATTTCAGTCAAAAATATTCAACACTTTGTGAAAAATGTTCTGAAAACCCATGAAAACAGCGCCATTTTATAATTACTCTCCCCAAAGCTCTAAAAATATAACTACTTTCTCGACTCAGACAATATTTTCCAAAAATCATCAAAATGAATGCAATGTTTTTCTCAAAATCGATCAATCTAAAATTTTAAAAAATCTCCTAAATCTATTAAACTTAAAAAAAGTCATGATCCCCTTCCTTTCAATCTAAAAAATGCTCCCATTCAAAATGAAACTGCCCTATTTCTTCCGTCCCACTAAATTATTCTGTCCCCAGCACCAACGAACCTGTAGTAACGCAGATTAATTCAGCCTCCTGTCCCTTAGTCTGTACAATTCCAGCCAAAACCTTGCGCCTGGCGTGCTGGGGTTTACTCTGCATAAGCTCCGTAAATTTCTGATTAACCATTTTCCCAATTTTATCAGCCAACATTTGCGGCAAACTCATCTGCTCATGCGGCTGTCCCAGATTTGGAAAATTTGGCATTCGCACTGGTAGACCAGTGAGCGCCATGCAAAATGTTGAACTGTGTACATTTCTCAATTTAGCGAGTGCCGCTTTGCTAGCAGCAGCTTTGGCTAATTTTTTACTCGGTCCAGTCCCCTCGAACGTTTCCCCATCAATTGTCACAGCTATTGTGAATTTAGCGTAACTCTCACCACTGTCTGAGACACACGTGTAAACCACTCCTGGATAGAGCTCGTTAATCAGTGCCACTGGGCCTTTGTCAATGTACTTTCCAGCATTTTTAGGCTCTTGGCTCAGTGTCTTAAATGCATTAACGAGGTGATTATCCTTCTCTGTAACGTCACTCGTAAAATCAGGCTCTAGTGTTGGTACATTCTGGCATGTATTCATTGCCTGGTGTACCTCCGGTGCATTTCTAAATTGCACGATATTTCTCAATGCTAATTCAGCGGCTGCGTGTTTAGCCATTTTTTTCGTACGACCCTTTCCCTCGTACGTTTGTCCATCAATTTGCACGGCTATTGTGAATATGGGCGCGTGGGTTGGACCTGTCTGGGATACGACTTTGTACACTGCACCAGTTTTTAATTCATTCAGGGCACAGACTGCGTTTTTTGGTTGAGGATTTTTGTGACGCTTTTTGGCTACTGGTGCACCTAGTTGGGGAGAATCAGAAAACGGTTAATGGGGGGAGTTTTATTGGGGGCGAGGAGAACGAAATAGCGAGCGGTTCAGGCAATTCTGGTTCGTTTGTTAGATTTGGAGAAATTGTGTGAGTTGAATCGGCAGTTTTGCTAGTTGTGCAGTTATTTTTGGAAGGTATTTCGTAGGAAAATGTATGTGGAGGTTCATTACATTTTTTTACAGAATACGATGGGTAAGATTGTACATTTTTAGTAGTTTTAGTAATTGAAATTGACATTTTCATTGACAATGCATTCCTCTGGAAATTTAATGCTCAAAATTGTGTCCTAAAAGCCCTTGTTATCTCATATAAGAAATTCAGTCGTTCTTTTGGGTCACGTGTTGGCGAAATTTCAAGAGGTTTTTCGTTGCAGCTGAGTAAATTCCCACCAAAAAATCATAATATTCGCTCTAAAAAATTACTCACGACCCATGCGATGTGATTTACATCAAAAACAAGAATTAAATTACTTAAAATCTAGATTTATATTTTAAAAAATCTATTTTAGGGAAAGCAACATTTATATTTTTATGAAAATAAACTTCCTCCTGAAATCAAATGCCCAAAATTGTCCAAAAATTATAATATTCGCTCTAAAACATTACTCATACTCCATGGAATGAGATATGTATAAAAAACGAGAATTAATTTACTCAAAATTTAGATTTATATTTTTATGAAAGACGACTTCCTCCTGAAATCAAATGCCCAAAATCGTCTCCAAAAATTCCTCATCAGCTACCAATAAATCCCCCCTCCTGTTCCGTCACGTGTTAACGAAATATTCCTGGATTACTCCTTACAGCTGATAAAATTCCCCCCAAAAATCATAATATTCGCTCTAAAACCTAGCTCACAATCCACGCAATGTGATAAGCATAAAAAACAAGAATTAAATTCCTAAAACCCCATGTTCATCACCAATTAATTCCTCATCAAATAAAACGCCCAAATTTGCCTAAAAAATTCCACATCGCACCACCTAAACCAAAAAATCCCCCCATTCCGTCACGTGTCATCTCTCCTCCCCAGACGACTCCCCGCAAATCAGTGATTTCGAAACTGTGCACATGCAACACCAGCAGATAAACCCTGAAAAAGAGCCCCTCCCCCCGCCGTCTCTCGTAAACACAACAACTTCGCCTCGAGCCAATTAATTCCCCGTGTGATAATGAGCCTCTCGTGCCGACCCCCAGCCCCCGATAAAAGCGTGACGAACAACTCGAGCCCTCCGAGCACCAATTTCCCACCACCATGTGCACGAGGCAATTGAAGCACCCCAGAGTGCAAAAAAAATCATAATAAAAATACGTACATAAAAAATTTCCAACCGCAAAAAACTGACCTTCAACGATGGGCTCAGCTGGCCTCTTGGTCGAAGGCATGGTGACACTGATCTTCTCAATCTTTGAAAAAGAAATAAAAAATACACATCATGAATAAATATCCCCTAGGTAGCAACAGCAGGACCAAACAAATGAAAAAAAAAAATGGGCAAACTCACCCCCATTTTAGTTTGCCTCCCCTCCGATGCTGCAGCAGTGCAGCCTGCAAATACGAGAAGATTCAATTCAATAAAATGTTAAATCGCCCGAGCAAAACTAGTCTACTCACCTTTCTGCTGTGACTGATTGTTATTCAACAATTGTACACCATTTGACATTGTCACCAGCGTGGAAACCCTCGGGTTTTATCTTAGGCGATAGAACAACAGTAAACTAATATCTGCAAAGACAAGCATTCGAGAAACACTGCACTAATGCATTGATTTTGATTATATTGCTGGGAGCAAACGAGTCACACTAGCGCCACTCTCGTGCAGTAACAATACCCCTAACCCTATTTTTCCGGGTAATGTTGATCATTCGGGGGTGATTTCGGCGAATTTGGGGCCAATTTTCGAGAATAGTGGGTGTATTTTGGGTTATGAGGGGTTAATGCAGTATTTTTAGACATCGATGGCACTTTTAATACAACAAATGAACTTTTAAACTCACCGACACAAGAATGAAGCGGTGAGGCGGGTAAGCGAGCCACCAGGTACGTACCAACACTGGAAATGCACGACGCTAAGGCTCTATTCGGAGCCTCTCAGGGGCTACACACTGCGCATTGCGGCTACTCTTCGTGCGCAGTCGATAAAACTCAGACGAGGGGATCGAGCGGATTATACGGGTGTACATGCACTTCCGGGGGTGGATGGGAGAGGAGGTGGCACGGAAGGATCTAAATTTTGTCTTTTGTACTTTTCGCGAGAAGGAGAGGACAATTTTGCCGAGAGGAGTCGCATTGTTGGGGATTTTTGATTATTTTTTGGGGGGTCAAGGGGGTTATTGCTCGGGGAATGGGATCGGCGGTGGACGGAGAATCAATATTGGTCGATTTTCAATGGGGTTGCTTGCTCATTTGCACAGTGTTAATTATTCATTTGGGACTGAGAATGCAAATTTATTCTAGGAATAAAACGGAATTCAGTGGCGAAGCGGTAGAACGGTTCGATTTTGAATGCTGGCCAGTTTTGTCGCCCATTGAGTGATGAATATCTCGGAGTTTAAGGGAGATAGCGAAATTTTTGTTATTACCTTTTTTAGAGAACGAATCAAGGGCTACAAAAAAGATTATGACGAAAATTCCGGTAGCTGCCTTAGATTTGGAGATATTCTTCGAAAACTAAGTCGACTTGAACCGTTTTACCCGAGGTTTTGCCAGCTCGCTAATGAAATCGTGTGATAGAATTGAGTAAATGTATTTCCTGTGAATCAAACTCAGATAAAGAACAATTTCACGCTTCAATAGAAGCTGTGTTACGAACTATTTAAATGAACCGATGTAGTCCATTCAAAATAAAATTTAATTCCTTCAAATGAACCATTTGATTATGGGTGTATCATATTTTTTAAAATGAGAGATGAGCGTTCGAACATGAATATGATGAATATGATGTATTAATAAAAAATTAAACATTACACTAAATTAATTAAATGGAAATTCAATGAAATGTAATAAATTACTGGAATAGAAACTAATAAAAAGCTGGATGTGTCGGAGGGATCGAGTAATTGATGAGTTGTTGCCTAAATTTTCATGACGTCTTAACCCAGACAGTTATTCAGATGAGATTTTCTGACATTTGAAGTATTTAATGTGCGATACACGACAGTAAAGTGGCCTGTGCCTCTTCAGAAACTTTAAAATTTGATAAATGAAACATAAGCGAGAATTCTCGTCAATGCCCCATTGACATTTTCGTGTCATCGACAAGAATTCTTGCTTATGTTGCATTTATAAAACTTTGAAATCACTCACGACTGCTCAGACACAAACAAATTCGGTAGCGAAGCGGTAAAACGGGTCAAGTGGACTTAACTCTCAGTTGAATTTTTGAGGCATATCTTCGAATCTAAGAGATGTGCCTCAGATTCCGAAAACTATATGTATTGAAAACTGATCGATACCAAAAATTGACTTGAACCGTTTTACCGCTTCGCTGCTGAATTCGTCGTTAAACTGATTGTCATTACACATTCAATCCTGTAATTAGTTCCGTGCTGTTGACTCTAAATCAGTAGCAAAGTGTTTTCAATCAATATCTCGGAATCTGAGGAAAATAGCAAAATTTTTGTTACAACCTTTTTTGTGGAGCCGATTGAGTGCTACAACAAATGTAAATACGAAAATTTCGCCATCTCCCTTAGATTCGGAAATATTCCTCACAAACTCAACCGGGAGATGAGTCGACTTGAACCCTTTTACCCCTTCGCTAGGGAGATAAAAAATGGATAATCCACTGTCTGTTGTATTGTTTGATACGCCATAACAAATAAAAATTTGCGCAAGAAACAATGTTTTCTGAAGTTTCATATTTATTACCCTCCGAAAAGTTCGATATTTCCATAAATAATTGGTAATTCCTTCCTAATTCCAAAGCAAATAAATTCCTGCAGACAATGAACATTTGTTTTACGGCTTGAGACTTCACTTGGAATGTAGAAATTATCATTGGGAACAGATAACGCCAATTATTGTCGCATAATTATTTCCCTCGTGTGAAAAAAAAAGTTCTTTTCATTTGCTCGGGTGACGTTGTGGGGCCTTTTATCATAGTTTCCACTTGGCTTTCCACGTGACGGAATTGTCGTTGTGCAAGTCCTCCCTCAGCGATCTTGGGAGTATTCTTGAGCACTTGGAAATAAAAGAAAAATTGTGAATCGAGGGTAAGAGGATGGGGCTGAGATAATGACGTCTTACGGTCTTACGTACTGTTGGCGGGGAGTTTATTACTGCTTTCTCTGTAGTTTCATTACGGCTGAATAGGTACGAGGAGAATAACAAGTTTATTTAATCCTTCAGGATGAAACTGTTCGATAACACTTTGAGGGGTTTTCAGTGACAGAAAAAATTCATTTTATGGAGATGATTCTCTCTTGGAATGAGGGTTGTGTAGCTGAGCTAATTTGAAATAATTTACATCTCACGGTACGGTGAATATCCATTATTTCTTTTTGAGATGGAACTACCCGAGTCGAATAATTGGACCTGACAAATTCTACTTAGGTCTCTCCGTTCAGAACTGGATAGGTCTTGGGAAGCCTCTTCCCAAGTGCTTCCGAGACCTTTCTACCTCTGGTTATGTCCCACTTCAGCACTTGTTAGGTGTAAGCAGGACTTGCATTCAGACTTTCCAAATCCTTGCCGGTCCCCGTAATTCTATGGGCCTATATTAAATCTGCGTTCATATCCCTATTTACTCATGCGTTATTGAAATAAAAAATGCAATTATTGTTTTTTTTTTAATCTCGAAAATCGACATTTCACGGCAGGGTGGAGGGGAGATGCATGTATGCGGAGGCTTGACATTTTTATCCAACAAGCGGAGAAGGTTGCAGAATCTATTCTAGCCACTCTTGCCCCTCCGCTTGCATGTATATATTTATTTGTATTATATTTTTTTCAATTGAAAGAC